ATATTAATTTCGAAATGAAACCACCAAAAGAATAATGAAATACAACCATTGCCATAAACGATAAGCCAAAGTTGTGAAATAATTTAATAATAATAATGCTGATGGTGATTCAACATAAGCAGTAGGTGAATATAATGGACTTTTAGTTAGAATCACAGTTAATATTTTTATTTTTTATATATAAAAAAAAATTATCGTGTTTTGCCAAATTTGATAAGTTTAATATATATATCTTTTTTTCTAGTAATTTGAAGAAATAATCTAGAAGAATTATAACTACATAGTCAGGATAGATCGTTAATATTAAAATAATAAGTGAAGCAATCATCGTCGTCTAACTAATTATCTTGGACATCAGACTATTCATGTTCGTCCATTTTATCCTGATATTTGACTCTCCTAACTATGCTACGCATCGATACGAATTTTCACAGCTATTTTCCTTTATCTGGACTCAAGTTTCCACATATATTTTTCTTCGTCCGCAATTCAATAAGTAGACAAAGCCAATAAAAGTTTAAGATTGCCCTCCACATTCTATGTTACTAGGCTTAGTTAAATTGTGTTTCTGCAAAATTTCAAGAAGATGGATATATTATTAACTTCAAATAGACTATTTTTTTGTTATTGCTTTAATAAATTTTTAAGTATAAAACTTTAAATTCTAAACTTGATATGATCAAATGGGATTTATTGTGTAGGTTAACCTTTTTCTCGTGGAAAATATCAATGTCAATTATTCTCCTAAAATAAAAAAAAAAAAAAAAAAAAAAAAAAAAAAAAGGTCAATAGACGTAAGAAAAATAATTGAGATTTAAATAAAAAAATTCAATGGTCTTATGAGTGGTTGATAAATTGAATTACAAATTTCTCTTCTTCAGCATAACGTATAATTAACTCGTGTAAAATTCTGAACTTTTAATATATTTAATCCTTTTCTCACCATATTAGTTTCTTTGACATTTGAAATTTAATTCCACTTCTTGGTTAGGAAAGATTATGTTATTTTGTGTTAGGTTAAGCTATAATTATTTTAATAAAATGTCAAAATTGTTGTTAAGATGTATTTTTCATATGAATAAACTAGCATTATCATTTACACGTGGATTAAGGAATATTCTTATTTTTTTTCATTTTCTAATGGGAAAACAATTTGCACTTTGCAGTACTACGGCCCTTTACTTATAATAATCTCTTTCAATTTTCAAAGGTCAAACAAAAAAAAATGTTTTAATAAAAAAAAATATGAGAAGGTTTTCTTATACTATAATTATTTATCTGCATCATATATTTACATTAAACCAACAAAACTCACTATCATTGACCTACTTAATATAGTAAAATATATATTATTTAGTTATGATTAAATAACAAAACATATATATATATATATATAAACACACATGTCACATACATATTTGATTGATTATATATAAATATTCGATACAAATAAATTTTTAGCCACTCGCTTTTGACCTCTCATTGTCCATGTAAACCACAAATATCATTATATACTCAATGATTTTATATATCACCAAGAAAGAAGTTGGGTTTTTTTTTTGAATTAATCATTCAAATATCTTTTAACAATTAGCTATAACTTATAACAAAATATCTTAGTATCCTACCTATGGAAATAAAACAAGTCACATTTGAGGAGGGAATATTTAATACGTCAAATCTCTTTATAATGGTGTTGTTTGTCTGAATATTAATTTTCCAATTGTTATATATAGAGATCACATATTATGACATAATGAAAGGTCGATTTCACAAAAGATATAATTATAATGAAATATTTTTATAACGGATAATTGCTATAGAGAAATCTTAATTTTATTTTTTTGGTTCATGTATATATAACCCTAAAACAACTTGGAGGGACCAGAAATTTTAGTTTATTATCTTCCTCTAAAAACACCTTAGAGTTTTCACACGTGATTTTGTCCCCTAATTCAGCATACCCTCGACTAGTCGACCCTCTTGACCCCGTGGGGTGGGTGTATATCGATAATAATTTAGTTGTATTTTATGTTTATGTCAAATCAATAATGTATTTTATGTGTTTATATACATAGTGCTTTTACTTAATTATGGTAAGTTGATGTATATTTTTCACTTTATTAAATCACTCAATTATAATAGATTGATATGATTTAATGTAAATATGTTATGCGAATAAATTCACTTTTTCTTTTTCTGAATTTACCTTTAAAGTATCTTGAATAACTCATAGCTAGAGACGACAAAAATTGATTCATGTTAGCTAGAATCTATATCGTGAATAAAGTTTTTTCTTTCAAGAAGTTAATCATTCTCAAGATTCAAATTGAAAAATCTTCGATAAATGGTGGAGAAATTTCAATTATCTCATCACATTTTAATATACATCCCAATAAGTTTATTAAATTTATGATTTTAGAAATGTCATGACATTTATGTGGCTATTATGAAACTAAAAATTTAAAGTTAAATTATTTTCTAATGTATAAATGTATCAAATGTCAATCTTTTTTAACAAACCAAGAAAAGACGTTGTCAATAACGTAATAAGAGTGTGTGGCCTAATGATTAATGAATTGTTTGTGAATCACGAAGTTTCATATTCAAATATCAGTTTGAGGCGAAAAAAAATATTAGATTAATTCTTCTAATCATCTCTCCAACTATATTAATGAATAAAGTTACTCAACATATATATATACATACTGCCCATGAAAACAATAAATTTCCTTGAAATTAATCAAAATATGCTCAAACTAACATACGCTACAATTATAAAATAAAATAAAAAATTATCAATAATGCCACATAAAATAAAATTGATAGTGATTATACAAAAACAAAACTCTTAAAATAAAATTGTGATAATAATACTTCCTCCATCCATTGTCCTTACTCCTAGGACCGAAATAATTATCCTTGCCCGATAAATCTATAATTCTATATCCATTCTTAAATATTATTGAGTACTGTTAATTTCCTCGCCATTTTTATACACCTCATACCTTTAACACAGGGGCGGAGCCACCTTGTCCCTAGGGTGTCCAATTAGACACCCTTCGTCGAAAAATTATACGATTTATACACATAAAGTTTTGACTTATGTATTGTATTGTATTTTGGACACCCTAAAATAACAAAGTAAACCGTAGTGGAGAGGGCTAGAGCTGTCGCAAACTCACTAGCTCACCTCCAATAAGTATTTTTTTTTCAATTAAAATTGAACTATTTCCTTAAATTTTAATAACTTTTCCTTGTGGAATAAGATTTCTTAATATTTTAATGCTTTTACTTAAAATAGAAATGTGTCATTCTTTTTGGGACTGACTAAAAAGGAAAGTAAGTCATATAAATTGGGACAGAGGGAGTAATACTTTTTTCTTAAATTCTAATACATTTTCCTTTTGGAATAAGGTTTTAATTGAAAAAAAATCCTTAAATTTTAATACATTTTCCTTGTGGAATAAGATTTCCTTGTATTTTAATACCTTTTTCCTTTGTGGAATAAGATTTTCTTAAATTTTAATACATTTTTCTTTTAGAATAAGGTTTTCTTTCTCTATAAATAGGAGACCAATTTACCCAAATTATATCACAATATTATTAAAAATAGAATCTCTATAAATCATCGCTTTTTTAAAAAAAAATTACTATTCAAAATTTGGACCCCCTTAATAAAATTTCTGGCTACGCCACTGCCACTGCTTTAACATATCCTTATAAATTTAAGACCAAGTCCCCTTCTTCCCACCTTTCAAATCTCCTCATTTTTCTCTCCTCCACAAATTCCAATCAATTATTTTCAACATTTTTATTTAATATTATTTTCATTATTATTATTATTAAAAGAAAAATAGCAAAAGAGTAGGAGAAGGATAAAGTTTGGACCCCTTGATAAAATTCCTGGCTACGTCACTGCTTTAGCATATCCTTATAAATTTAAGACCAAGTCCCATTCTTCCCACCTTTCAAATCTCCTCATTTTTTCTCTCCTCCACAAATTCCAATCAATTATTTTCAACATTTTTATTTAATATTATTTTCATTATTATTATTATTAGAAGAAAAATAGCAAAAGAGTAGGAGAAGGATAAGCTTAAGCTCACAATATATTTAACCAAAAAATAAAAAATAATTAAAAAACTCAATTATTTTTTTTGAAATATTTATATTTTGCCTACTTATTTGATTTTTAATTTTTTTTGCCTACAAATGCCTCTCCGTTCACCACCGCCGGTGACTTCCATTTCCTTCTCCTTCCTCCACCACCCACCCACC